AAATATAGACCCTCTGGATATTTTTCTATTTTTTACTACTCATAAAATTTATTTTTCATTCTCTTTCTAAATTTTTATCAACGGAGGAAATTTATTTTGGTAAATGTTAAATGCCTTGGTATAGTTTGTTCACACATGGAGATAGCAGTACAATTCAGGAACCTCTTTCTTTTTGCATTCCAGAGTCATATAATTGTAATTTTGAGACAATTAAGGGTGAGGTATGGAATTACCATTAATAACTTACTTATATATTTTATCACATCCTTAGTTTGTTGTTCAAAATGTCAGGTTTTAACTAACTCCTTGTTTAAACAAAGTGAGATACTGAAACAAGTAGCAAATTATGCCTATCATGCTGACTACAGCTGGTGACAGTCTGTTGCAGACGTTGTGGGGGCAATGGCATGCTTTTGTGAATAAATTGAATTTAAAACAGTTTTTCAGAGCTATTTTTCATATATTTTTCTTGTTTGTCTATACCTATATGATGTGTAGCATCTCAGGGTGGTGGTAGTACAAGTAGTAAAACTTGATGTGTCTCCTCTTACCTCTCCATTACATACCCATGAAGAGATTTAAAAAAAAACCAAAAACTGATAAAATTTCTGTTAATTAAGAAGCTAAAAATTGGTTGTTGGCCAAGTCCAGGGAGATGGATTGAAAAACACAGCCTTGAACATCATGCTCCTTATTCTACTTTCTGAACCAGAATAGGGCAAACTGTCAAAAAGGAGTGGGACACATACTGCTTTTGGGTAGCGCCCATGCCTGCTGGAGCTGGAAACAGGTAGCCATCTCATGGTTTAATTGTCATTTGACCCTGAGGGAGCTGGAGTTCTCTGTCCCCCAACTAGCCTACATCAGTACCTGTATTGCCAGAATGTTCCAGCAACGAAGCACCCCAAATACAGTATGGCATGAAGCAGAGAAGGACTGGAGGCAGCAAGTTGAGTCGTATGATTCACAGACTCCCATGGCAAGGTGTAGTGAGTGTAGAGTAGAGGGAACGGGATGTGCTAGGAAGTGTGGGTCCAGCGAACAACTTATTTTGGCAGCCCTTCCCCAGGTGATCCAGCCTCAGAGCAGCCAACACAACCAGAGGAGTGTTTGCTGGGAACCCAGGTTTTGAAATTGGGCTCGGTTGCATCAGTCGGCCTTTTGACGCTCGGGAGGCTGAAAAACCCAACTAACTTTTTGGTTGTCAGATGCCAGGCCTAGTGCATCTCTTCCAATCTTTAAAAAAAAAAAAAAGGCAGGGAGGTGTACCTTATGAAAAGATAGGGCAAGACAAAGAAAACACTGCTCTGAAGATTTAGAAGCAACACGTAGTTCTAAAAATGATTTTTTGTAACAAGCAGATGAACACTCCTGAGGGAGAGCCAGAAGGCTATGACTCTATGGTGAGAACAAGTTGAAACAAGGCAAAAATTATCAAAGCCAGCTGAAATAAGAAGATAAACCAAAAATGAAGAAAGTAAAAGAGCAAAATTGATGCAACAGTTTTGATTAATTCACTCATGAAATAGTCATTCGTGAAATATTATTGAACCTACTATGTGCCTGCTATTCTAGGCACTTACGCAGTAGTGAATAAACCATACAAGGCAATTATGAAAGGTCCAACCTAAAAGTTACAAGGTTTCTGGTGAAAAAATACTAGGAAAATAGGTTTAGAAACAACATTTAAGGTTGCTAGAAGAAAACTTTTCTAAGTTCATTGATTTCCAGGTAATACTAGCTCAAAACCTCCCCCTCCCCCTCCCCCCCGATACTGTCTTCTGGACATACTTTGGTTAATTTAAAATTTTTATTCCAAAGAAAAGAAGTCCTAACAGGATCTAGGCAGAAACAAAGTTATCTATGTTAAAAATCAAATTGGCCCCTGACTTTATTTTCTTCTTCTTGTAAGAAGAAAGTGTATGGAGAAGAAGTACATGGATTTTGTTAGAGACTGTTTATTCCTATGTGCTGGAAAGTTGCTTTAATAAATGTACAAACGTACAATGTCTGTGATGTGCATGGCACTTTGCAGGGCTTTGCAGTGCATAAGATTTTATAGGGACCCCGAAGATGGTGGAGAACGTAAGGTCGCCTTCCCAGGAATTCTGTGCCTGCCAAGTTGCCATTCGTGTGTGAGAGAACTTGGACATATGTCATGACTTTCCTCAGAAAGCTACTCAAAGATGCACACTGAGCAGAATCTTCATGCAAATTGAGCTCTAAACAAGTGTGAAAACCACAGTAGAAAAGGACTGGAGGTAAAGATTGAAGCTAATAAAATATGTAAAGAAATACAGATTACATATAATAGCTCATGTGTGTATAATTACAAATTAAATACAACAGCCAAAATCTATTCTCAAAAATAAATTTAACAAAATGGTAAAAGAAGAACCAGGGTCTATAATCCCAGATTAATTTAAAACAGTTTCAGGTCACAACAATCTAAATTGGTTCTGATATAAGAATCAACAGATCAATAGTGTAGACTAGACTAGAAAGCTCTGAAAGAAAATCTAGAGCATGTATGTAAGAATGCTAGGAAACAGCAAAGAACTAAAAATCCATGGTAAAGAGTATTGGGAAAATTGATTCAGTATTTAGAATTCTGTTGAATATAGATTCCCTCACTATGTTAAATTACAGGTGGATTAAATAAATTATAGGTGGATAAAGACTTAAGGAAAGAAATTAAATCATTAGAATATTGAGACATAACTGTGGATGAATATTAACCATACTGAGGCTAAGTAAGGACTTTGAACACAAAAGTAGTGGACATAAAGGCATATATCAATAAATGTGACTGTAATAATTTATATTCAACAACAACCAAGCCCTAAATAATTCAATGATCACGTTAGTCTAGGGAAAATATTTGTAACAAAATTTGGCAACAGGTTCACATCCATGAATCAACAAGAAAAATATTAACTTTAGTAGACCTTTTTTCACTTACCAGTTGATAGAAGGAAACTTCTCTGACCTCACTGATGTCTGAAGACTTTTTCCAATGATTGTATTTACTGTTAGCTGTGGTCATAGGATGGGTATTCTTATATACTGCTGAAGTGATCTGTGAAATGATATATTTTTGGGTATCAGTTTTGGCAGTATCAGGAGCCTTTAATGTTCATACCATTTGACCCAGTTATATCACTCGCCGAATTTACTCTATGAAAAATAAAGAAGCAGATGTTAAAGTATGTTCATTAACCAAACAGTTAAATAACGATACATTAAAAATGATGGTTTTAAAAATTATTCAGTGACAAGTTAAAATGTACCTCATGCAATATCAAGTGAAATAAAAGCAACATGTAACACCATATACAATATTACAATTCCAATTTGAGAAAACTTTACTGGAAGAAAACAAACCAAAATACTAGCAAGGGTTATGCCTTTTATATTTTAGGTTTTCTGTAATGAGTTTGCATTATTTTTATAAGCAGTTTGAATAAAAGTGAAATGTTAAATTCTTTCCAGCACCTTCTGCTCTTAAGTGCATGTAAGTTTCCACCAGACATCGAAGTGATTTTATATAGAAAACTTCATCTCTTTGGCTTCATTTTTTAAGTAAATATATAAACTGTATTGAGTGAGTGAGAGGGAGGGAGAGAGAGAGAGAGAGTTGAGAGGATTTCCATGATATTGGTGAAAGAGTAACTTTTATACAGTGAATTCTATTTATGAGATGCCAGAAATTAATGCATTTCTTTCTTCAAGGTGATGTAAATAAGTTTGTTGTCAGTTTAAATTTGTAGTCCTATCATGAGCAAATTTGGACTAAGTGAGACCTTTTATAAAATCAGACAAAGGTAATACTTAGGATGCAACAAAACGATGCCTGTGGGTCTCCATTTAGAGTGCAGTATAGGATGAAGCATGACCTGGAAGAACTCTGCCCTGCAATGCGAGCATTTTGACTCTCCCTGAATGCGTGTATAGTGCTGCGTCTTTCTTTGTGCCGGGAGCAGAGTTTCCCAATAGGGCGTGTTCTTTCCCTTATACCTTGTACCTTGTTGGTTATTGCCTGCTAGTGCATGCATTTGTAAAGACTTTGTTTTGATGCAGTGACAATCTTTTATTAAAAGATTTGCTCCTACAGATCTGAAAGTATAGCCACTTGGAGTACAAAAGAGCAGACCTGAGTCATTCAGAAGACCTTTCTTTATAACATATTGGCTTTGAAGAATGTATATATTATTTTGCCAAAAGCTTTTTTATTCCTTTTTTAGACCAGAATAAGACATGAGTTATTTAACCTCATGGTACTTAGCTCTGAGCATTTTTATTTCCTTTCTAGCCTTCATTTTCTTCTCCAACCAAAAAAGACACACAAAAATTTTTTGCAATGTTTCCGTTTAAAGTGGGGTTTTGCTCACAACCCACTTGTGTTCAGGAGAAGGAAATAAAGGCAAGAGTGGGGGTAGTGATTGGTATTTGGCAGCAGATGTTTGTCTCTCTTTGGGTTTGAAATGACTATCCCTAGAGAAGAACTGGGGAACGAGGCTTGTTAGGAAAAGTAAAGTGAAGGGCGGAGACTCAGAAGGGGAACTCTGTTACCTGCAACTACCAAGTATTGTAGAAGCCCTTTCTTTGCTATAGAAGCCTAATTAAAATGTGCCCCTGAGTTTCAGAAGGAACTACAGATGATGGTAAATATTATATCATATCAGTCATCCTGGCACTTTTTTTTTTAGCGTCCAGACATTAACACTTATGGTTTATTCATGGTCTATTGCCATCTCTGCTCTCGGTTCCCTTCTCTCTCCCTTTATTTTTCCCTTCCCTGACAATGTCTGCAGGGTGCTTAGAAAGAGAGTTTTGGAACCAGGAAATGAGGGGCTGGGAAAGAAGAGGATCTTTTTTTTTTTTTTTTTTTTTTCTCTCTGGTTTCTTGCCCTCAGTCTCCAAATATACCCCGACACTAATGGGATTCCCAGTTTCAAAAACACTGAGGAATGACTTTCTGTCTCTTTTTTCCTTTGCAGGAAACACATGAAATTGTGGCAATCAAGAAATTCAAGGACAGTGAAGGTATACGTGTGTGTGTGTGTATGTGTATGTGTGTGTGTGTATCTGTCTTTTTCTTTTTGTATTTAGTCCTTGTGAACAGAATGTAGAAGAGATAGGATCTAGCTGATTAGCCTTTGTTCCTGAAATTTTAACATCTGCATCTCAGAAAGTGAATATAGCATATTTATTATCATGCTTTGCTTTGGAACATCTAGCTCCTTCTGTGTAAATCAAATCTCATGATACTAGAAAATTTATCATGTATTTTAAGGTACAGTCAGCACTGGAAATCTTGCTTCAAATGCTAGGTAGAAGGCATGCTATTTATAAATATTATTAAAATGAGAAAACTGATTTGAAATAAATATTTTTGTGAGTTCACATAAGTAGGAAGGGCTATGTGAAGGGCTTTGGTATTGATTACTATGATCTTCGGTTCTTAGTTAGAAATACAAGGATAAGTAGTATGTAAATGGTATCAAGAAAGTGATTTTGTATTTAAAATGACTCATTGGAAGAATAAAAGCTTTTCAAGAAGAAATACCATAGTTGGGGTCCTTGGTCACACGTCCAGACCATTTCAGATGGAGTACTAAAATTACCCTATGCTGGGGCACCTGGGTGGCTCAGTTGTTTAAGCGTCTGACTCTTGATTTTGGCTCAGGTCATGATCTCACAGTTTGTGGGATCAAGCCCTGTGCTGGGGCTCTGCGCTGACATCACAGAGCCTGCTTGGGATTCTCTCTCACCCGCTCTCTCTGGCCCTCCCCATGGACATGCACGCGACATGCACGTGCATGGACATGCACGCGAGCTCTCTCTCTCAAAATACATACGTAAACTTTAAAAAAGAAAGAAACGTTAAAAAAGTTACCGTATGCTGGGCAAGAAAATTTTAAAGAAAGCACTAAAAAACAAAAAATGTACAAAATATAAATAAAACATTTCAGTAGTTGATTAGGTTTTAAATCTAGATTATTGGCCATCTAAGGATAGCCTAGTAGAAAAACTTACCACGAAGACATGCATGGCCTTTGAGAAGCTCTAGGCAGCATTTTGCCAATTTTCTTCCTACAGAGATCCACAGAAATATTTTTTTTACATCCTAATCCAGTATCCACATACATAATGTCCTATATATAACTGAAGTAAAAGTATCACAAAACTATTTTACTAATGGGAGGTTCTTCATTTTTTGTTGTTTTCTGCTCATATAAATTCACATAAATGCCTATTTGTGGCATTAGATAACATCGATTTTACCACTGAATCATAACCTGCCTTGTGGAAAATAGTGCCCCAGGGTAAGAGGCACTAGCATAGCATTAACTTTCGTATCAAATTGGAAGTATGACAATGGCAGTCGTAGCCTACCTTTATCAGCACACATTGACTACACTCCGTAAGCCTCTATATTTGTGAACAGTTTCATCACCCATCCTTTAGACCCTTAGCGAACATTAAATAACAAAAAGGGCTCACTAACAAGGTCCTGGGGTAGATTCAGTAGTATTTGATATATCCCAACTCTGATGTGCTGGTTATGTGGGGCACACGCATCATCTGGGAAACCTTAGCAGCCGTTGTCTTGCCAGCCTTAAAGAGAATGCAATAAAAAAAGCTTTTAGGGGCGCCTGGGTGGCGCAGTCGGTTAAGCGTCCAACTTCAGCCAGGTCACGATCTCGCGGTCCGTGAGTTCGAGCCCCGCGTCAGGCTCTGGGCTGATGGCTCGGAGCCTGGAGCCTGTTTCCGATTCTGTGTCTCCCTCTCTCTCTGCCCCTCCCCCGTTCATGCTCTGTCTCTCTCTGTCCCAAAAATAAATAAAAACGTTGAAAAAAAAATTTAAAAAAAAAAAAAAGCTTTTAGCTTGTTCTAAAGTGCGGGGGGCGGGGAACCTGCTTCAAAGGATATACCTGTAGTCTGACAGGAAGCAATAGCCCCAGGCCAGTCCACTCTGAGACCATTGGAAATGAGCTCTTTGAGCAGTGGCTTTGGGCTAACCACAGGTGTCCAAGAGACAAATGGTGATCTACTAAAAAGAGTGGTTGCAACAGTAGATCAAAGCATAACCTTTGCCTTCATGTAAAGACTTCTGGCTGTGCATTCATCTTGTAAGGCACGTCGTCAAGCGTCAGTTAACCACCAAAAATAATAATTGTCATGAAGTTTTTGAAAAGCAGTACAAACTAGGCCACGTATGCCATTGCTTTAAAGAAAAAAAAACCTGCCATATTCTTCACAATCTCTGTTCTGTTCATACCATTTCTTAGCTTCAGTTAAACAATGTGTTTGTACCTGTTGTGATGATACCTTCAGAGTGGTAATCAATAACATCTGTTTAAATGTATTGAGCCCTGAGACAGGTGCTATGAAAGCCCTGAAGAATAAATCAGGGTGATTTCAAGAAGCTTAGTAGAATTAAGACCTGTAAGTAAATAGCAGTAAAACAGAGTAGAAAGCAGTCAGTGCCTGAATGAATTTGTTTAATTTTGAGGCAAGAGACATTGTTTCTAGCTGTGGTATCCTGGGAATGTATGAATAGTGTAGATATTATAGGAAACATTTGATCAGCCCTTATTTCTGTGCACTGACAAAGCATGAATGCCCTCTACCCTCCTCTCTGCCAGACCATTATCAATTACCATACCTTACAGGCATTGCAGCCTTGTCACCCATCCACCTTGCAGATGGACACCTTTGTCGGTACGCCCATATATACTTCTGGATACTTCCTAAACATTACTGTGATAGAATCTAAAGATATGCAATTATTCATAACTTTTTAGTTCCAGTTCTATTCTAGGCACACTTTTCAACTGTTTCTAGCTCTCCCTGGGAGGTATCATACTCTCTGTTCTGTCTTAACCCTTTCCCTCCTGCCTGAGTAGAATCTTTTTTGTTGTTGTTGTTAACATGGAAGCAAGAGCTTTTTTTAAATAGTTGTTTGTTTGTTTGTTTGTTTGTTTGTTTTGAGAGAGAGCGAGAAGGCAAACCGGAAGAACAGAGAGAAGGAGAGAGAAATCCCAAGCAGGCTCTGTGCTGCTGTCAGCACAGAGCCCAAGGCGGGGCTTGAACTTAGAAACTGTGCAATCTTGACTGAGCTGAAACCAAGAGTTGACGCGTAACTGACTGAGGCACCCAGGCACCCCACTGCCTGAGTAGAATCTTGCTTAATGGAATGTGTGTGGTGAACAATCCTTTTGGAATGTGACGTGTATATAGATAGTTTAGTACAGATGAGAATGTCCATTCAACCCCTATGTAAACCACTTAATTCTGAACCATTCTATCACCTTAAATTTCAATCAGGAAAATTCTAATAAAAAGTAGAGTTTCATCAGAATACCCTTAATGTCATATAGCTCTCATTAATCTCTTTTATTAGTTTCTCTGAAAATATTCTGTTGATATTATATGACCCTTCTAAAACCCAGTGTTTAAAAATTTTTGTGAAGGTCATGAAATAATCCTGTAAAAACACTGTTACACTGAAATAGGATCTGAACTTGGTCTGATTTGCATTCAAGCTAATCCAGTATTCTCATACTGATGATATGAAGGGATATTTTATGAGTATATATTACTTTCTGTTAGCTTTAAAAGATTATGATCATGTCCTATTTTCTTGTTAAATTTGTAAATATTTCAACACGTTTGTATAAAATGTTTTTGAAACTACATTAGGTAGGACCAGTATTTTGTTCAAGCTGTCCTTGTTATCCCAGGATAATAGATCACTACCTAAAATGGGAACTAACCTTAAATAGTAAATAAAAGGTTAGATTGGGACTTTTAAGTTGAGAAAATGGAACAAAAATTATGAAAATACGTTTACTTCATTTTATAGTTAACACAATTTAGATTATAATAGCTATTTCTTAGAAAAAAGAATCCAGTGTTAACTTTTTTGAGGGGGGGTAATTTTTGCAGTAAAATTATAGGCTAGGAGAATGAATGACTTTCATAATGATAAAAAGAGGCTTATTAAAAAATATACAAAAAACTTTGTCAGTTTTATCTTTATTTTTGTATGTCCCTGTCTTTCTGACTACATCCTTGTCAGTATTTTGCTCTCTAGTTGTTAGCTATTAGAACTCTATCAATCATTTATCCATATCTTTTGTCTATGATTCTCCTACATACTGGGTAGGGATTAAAACCTCATGTTAAAAATGAGTACTGTGTGAGTGATGACACTTTTATCTGAGATCACTTCATTAGTTAATAGTTTTTTGTTTTGATGACTTTTGCTGCTTTTAAAAAATATTTTTAAAAAATGTTTGTTTTTTTAAGAGAGAGAGAGACAGAGAGATAGAGGGAGTGGGGGAGGGGCAGAGAGAGAGAGGGAGACACAGAATCCAAAGCAGGCTCCAGGCTCTGAGCTGTCAGCACAGAGCCCGATGCGGGGCTTGAACTCACGAACCGTGAGATCATGACCTGAGCCGAAGTCGGACGCTTACCCGACTGAGCCACCCAGGCGCCCCGGACATATTCTTTTTAAACATGAGAGAATGTGTAATTGGTCATCCATTCTTTCCTCCAATTTATTTCATCCTTATCTCTACTCAGACATTAGAAAGCTCTATCCTGATTTCTGGATTGAGGGAATACTGGTCACATTTTGCATAATGGTATAAAACAAGAGCTCATAGTCTTTGCTCCTTAAATTCAAGAACTTGATTTCTCTGTAGGAGAGGCCTTGAAACAAATTTTCCCACCTTTGGTTAAACAGAATTCAATTAACTAAGCTTGAACATTCTGGCTAGTCATGATTTCACCAGACTTTCTTTTAATGTCCAAAATGGATCTCTTTCAAGCTTCAGGGGTTCTTCTAGGATTTGATGAACATTTGCACCCTTCATAATTTAATACATTTCCATTGTGCTCTACCCAGTCTCTGCTGAATTCATCTTTTTTAGTATATATGATAGCAGCACCACCATTCAAACCCCCTTGGCCGTGTTAATCGCCCTCTTGTTGGTATTCCTTCTTCAGTCAGGGCAACCCTTATGGTATCCTGA